ATATGTAATGTTAACCAGAAGCATTTTTCATCACTGCAAATAGGGCTTAATGATACCTAAATGGACATTCAGTAGCATAGTGGGAATAAGTAAATGTTTTGCTAGTAGTATGCTATAAACTTTTTTCTGTTCTATTACATGCAAACATTACTTCTTTAAAAGTATTATGGCAAGTTAACTAATGTATATCTTAAACTACTGGTGAATAGGCTTAATTAAGGACCATGCATAGTATTTTATATTTCATTGCCTGGAAAGTTACAAATATCTAATATGTTAAACTTGCTTCCATTAAATGGGCAGCAAGGTACAAATGTCTAAATTATATTGAATTATGCTGTGATAGATTCTTGGGTTAAATTTACCTAAGGGAATGCCCAAAAGTAAAACAAGGGAAAGGAGGTTATCTCTTCTGGAGAGCAAATGGCTGTTCTAAACCAATGAAGAGGAGCAGAGTTTACCACCCTAGAATATGTCCATTTAGCATGGGGATTATTTTAAACTGGTTTATTTATTTTTATTTAAATTCAATTAGCCAGCATATAGTGCATCATTAGTTTTTGATATAATGTTCAATGATTCATTAGTTGTGTATAACACCCAGTGCTCATCACATCACATGCCCTCTTTCATGCCCATCACCCAGTTAACCCCATCCCCCCACCCACCTCCCTTTCCGCAACCCTCAGTTTGTTTCCCGGAGTGAAGAGTCTCTCATGGTTTGTCTCCCTCTCTGATTTCTTCACATTCAGTTTTCCCTCCCATCCCATATTGTCGCTTGCACTATTCCTTATGTTCCACATATGAGTGAAACCATACAATAATTATCTTTCTCTGACTGGCTTATTTCACTCAGCATAATACCCTCCAGTTCCATCCACATTGATGTAAATGGTGGGTATTCATCCTTTCTGATGGCTGAGTAATATTCCATTGTATATATGAACCACAGCATCTTTATCCATTCATCTGTTGAAGGACATTTCAGCTCCTTCCACATTTTAGCTATTGCAGACATTGCCGCTATGAACATTGGGGTGCATGTGCCCCTTCTTTCACTACATCTGTATCTTTGGGGTAAATACCCAGTAGTGCATTTGCTGGGTCATAGTGTAGCTCCATTTTCAACTTTTTGAGGAACCTTCATACTGTTTTCCAAAGTGGCTGCACCAGCTTGCATTCCCACCAACAGTGTAAGAGGGTTCCCCTTTCTCTGCATCCTCGCCAGCATTTGTCGTTTCCTGTTTTGTAAATTTTAGCCATTCTAATTGGTGTAAGGTGGTATCTCATTGTGGTTTTGATTTGTATTTCCCTGATGGCAAATGATGTGGAGCATTTTTTCATGTGTCTGTTATTTTTAAGAAACAGCAGACACAGGGGAAGCTCTGAAGACTGAGTAGAAGTTACCCTTCTGTAAGAGATACTTACATGTAGAAGGGAAATCTCCACTTGTAAGGGTGTCCCCTCAAAGTACCAGGATGAAGGGGGTGAGTCAGTCTCTAGAAACTCTTATCAAAGGAGAAGGCAATGACTTAAATCTGCACAACAACCTTACCCTTACTTACTGCTTTTCCTGGTCACCTTCTGTAACTGACTCCCCACCCTCAACATCTTCTTTTGTCTTTAGCTGAAGATGGTATTTAAAGTGATGGCCACTTCAGGGAGTTGCTCAGTTTTCCTGGGTCTCTCCCATGTACAGAGGAGATAGACATGTTATTAAATGTTTGTTCCTTTTCCTCCTGTTACTCTTTCTTATATCAGTTTGATTACTAGACCAGACAAAGAACCTAGAAGGGAAGAAGGGGAAACTTTTCTGTGCCTACACTGGTCCTGTATAATGCTAAACTTCAAGTGAACAGAATGTGCTGTTAAAAAGAGCAAGCTGTTTGTGGGTGTTCTCAGTCAGTTAAGCATCTGCCTTCAGCTCAGGTCATGATCCCAGGTCCTGGGATGGGCCCCACATCAGGCTTCCTGCTCAGCGGGGAGCCTGCTTTTCTCTCTGCCTGCCACTCCTTCTTCTTGTGTGCACGCTCTCTCTCTCTATTGGACAAATAAATAAAATCTTAAAAAAAGAAAAAAGAACAAGCTGTTTGAAACAAAAGAGAGACTGTGAGCCATAGGAAAGATAAACAGGAGTGCATGTTCAGGTCAGTGCAGAGATGGTATCGTGTGGGAAGTTCCATTTGGTGCTACCCCAGGTGTCTGTTTCACATTTTTATCTTCCTATTTTCAACATTTAAGTCAATAGTTTTGATGGACACAAGTACAGATGATCAAATTTGTGTGTACCCAAAGCATAGAACTGAAAGAATTGAAATAGAATAGACAGAATTGAAATTTCAAATAAACATTTCTTGACCAAGGATAAAACCAACAAAATACTGTTTAACATTCACAAATGTGATTTCCTATAAACTGGATTAAAAATTCAGTTTCATAAGGATAGAATAATAGTGACCCGGGTCATCAATGGTTCAAATAAAAAAGACCCAGAACTTTTTTTAAAAAAAGATTTTATTTATTTGTCAGAGAGAGAGCGAGCGAGAGAGAAAGCACAAGCAGGGGAAGCAGCAGGAGGCTTTTTTTTGAGCAAGGAACCCGATGTGGGACTCAATCCCAGGACCATGGGATCATGACCCAAGCCGAAAGCAGATACTTAACCAACTGAACCACCCAGGCATCCCAAGATCTAGAACTTTTAATTGATCTCAAACTCAATATAAATGATTAGAGTTATGTGAGACAAAGCATGATGGAGAACTTATGTATATTTAATCTCACTATTGTGGCTACTTCTAAGACCTATCAACCATTTATTAGTCACTATGGGTAAGCCATTTACCCTTGGTTTTCTTATATTTAAGTTGAAATTAATAATAAATAATGTAAAAGAGTATTGTGAGTATAAAATGATATAATTCATGTGAAAATAATATGAATGATAGCTTTAATTTTGCAAATGCAGAAAAAGCTAATGCAACATTAAATTTGTTTTAGTAGGAGCCAGACCATCCAGGCCAAGTGAAGCGTCAGTCATAGAGGGCAATTGTTAGAGCAGTTGATTATAAATTCTTTGAGGGCCGTGATTGTGTCCAATTCATTCTCCATTGTCTAAAGCAATGCCAAGCACCTCTTTAGTTCTGAAAAATATATATTTTATAAAAATAAATTGGTTTGGAATATTGGATCTTGTGGGAGTCACATTTTAAGAGAGAAAGTAAAATTTCAGATTGAATCTAGAGGAAGGAAACCAAGATGGAGAGATATTTAGAGACTATTATATGAAGATTAATTAAAATAATTGAGTATACATAGCTAGGAAAAGATATATTTATATCCAAATGTAAAAAACAAACAAGCAAAAAACCAATGTATATTGGTAACTTTGCTGTGAACGCAGGTATCAGGAACAATGAAAGAGGCAGAGAAGATTAGTGGCTAAAGGAAGATCGTGCTTTCCTCTCTTAACACCTCAGTAAGATGATCAACTACGCGGGTTCAGGTATCTTACAGACCTTCATTTTTGTGCTTTTTCCACCACCTATGTTCCCCTGGACAAGTTGTTCATTCCAAATCTCAACTTCCTTTTCACATGTCCTTGAGGATAATCATAATACCTACTGAAGGGGTTTAGGACAGCCCCCCGCCCCAAACATGCCACTTTGGCATGAGGATTATTTTGAGCTGGAAGCACTTGAGATCTGATGGGCTCAAGAGAAACTTTTGTACTCCCTTAACCACACAGAAGAATCTAAATTGTGGGTATTTCCCAGAGTAAGGGTTATTAACAGAGATAAATTTTATCTGAGTGACCCATCTGAATGGTAGGGCAAGTATCTAATTACCAAGCATCTATTCTTCTTATGGCCCTGTGAAATGTATTCCTTTCCTCTGAAGTCCCAGAACCACACCCCCTTCTCCTTAGTTCGGAATGACATACACACCTCATTCTGCCTGTCTTTGGAATTCACGTCTATGTGGATTCCCTGTGCTACACCTGTTAAATTTGATTTTCTGCTGTTAATCTGTCTTACGTCAATCTGACTCAGTCCAGCTGGAAGGACTTTTGAGGGGGCAGGAGTTCTTGCTTCCCCAACACTACTTTTTAGGAGTATTGTGAAGAAAAAATAAGAGGATGCAAGGCAAGTACTTTTCCATCGCTGGAAAAATGCTAAAAATATGTTAATTACCCACCCTGCCCATGTTCCAAAGCTGCCACTAGGGGCTGCTGGAGAACCTTTTGGAAGAATTCAGCACTCTGAGCTGGGCATGGGGCAAGGATTCTTAAATTTTGTTTTAACTTGTCAGCACTAAATATATTAAGTGACCTTAGAAGGATTGTGTGTAAATATAGAAATTAAAGAATAACCTATTTCCAAAATTGATTCTGGATGGTATAGTACTGAAGAGGCAAAGCTTCCTGGGGGAGTGGGCATGGTGGCTCCAGCATCCTTTTCAGTACCTCTTCCCTTGGGCAGCCCAGTCTGTTGGTAATCAAGACTTTCACATGGCTCCAGTGGCCACCTGTGAAATTTTGCATTCTGTATGTTTCACATTGCGGGAGATTATTTGTCTTGTTTGAGTTGAGAAAATTGTTTATGTTTCTTTATTGGACATAGTTTTGAGAGGTTTGAAATGTGATATTGTTACAGGTTTCAGGAAATTATATACTTAAGCATTTTATATCTAATAAGATTTAATTAATTCAAATTGTAATCTAACTTTTCTAACCCATAGGAAGATATCTCTAATTCTGAAATATTAGACACTGGGAACTGTGTAGGAAAAATATTTTGGGGCAGAAAGAAATCCTCCTGGAATTCATCAAATCATATTTTGCCAGATCATTCAAAATAACTCTCACCTCTTCTGTTGCCAAATTGATGATAATCAAGTAAGGGACATTAGCCTTTTTGATATTAAGTCCCAGATCAGGTAATAAAAGAGTGAAAATTTATTATTAAATATTAATTTGTTATAACTTCACATTTCTTCCTTAGGTTAAAAAATCTACCTGCGGGGAAAAAAACCTCAGTGGAGTCTGTTTGTGAACCTCGAGTGAACAACAACAAAAAATACATCTTTGGTTAAGACAGGAATGACCACCTTTTTATATCACCCTCTCAGGAAAAGCTATAATGTTTCTAATGATCAGCTGTTAGTAAGCAATGAATGTAATTCAAGCTGTTTTTCCAGTTTCCTCTCTGCAAGTTACCTGTCCTATATAAGGATCAACATCTCCATCATTAGCTCTGATTGTGTTTGTATAGTTGAATGAATAGATTTTTATTTGGCTTATAGGCAGAGCTCTTTGGATGGTCTCTGCTGATGTCAGAATCTGCTTTTAGCATATTCAAACCTTTTGCTTTTGTCTAGAGTGTTCTCACCTGTTCTATCCCTCACTTAGATGTACCTGATACACAATCCTAAAGTTATTGCTCTGGAGTTCTGAGCTGGAACTTCTGTGTAAACTTTCTGAGCAAAAATGCAAGTTGGGCATGGTTATAAGTAGGGGGTTAGCTGTTTAGAAGTCATAGAGACCTGGATTTGAATGCCAATTCCTCTAGCTGTGTGACCATGATCAAGTTATTTAACTTCCCTCAGTTTCTGTTTGCTTATCTATAAAATATAAATATAATTATTGTAGCTAACATTTATTGCACTCTAAGTTTTCTACATGAATTATCTCCCTTAATCTTCAAAACAGCACTGTGAAATAATTACACTATTCTATTATTATCCCGGTTACACTTAGAAAACTAAGACATAGGGATGTAAATAAGTTTGCCCAAGATCTTGCACTGAGGAGGTGGCAAGCTAGTACTTAAACTCAAAAGACTGTGGGAAAGAATAATTATGAATCCATACAGCTGTCTATCTATATATCTTTCTAATTTTTATGTAAAAACTGTTGAATGGATAGCATTATCAATATTTAGATTTGGCTAATAGAATGAATTGAATGAATATATTTAATAATATCTTTTTATTTTATTTTTCTTAATGATTTATTTATTTATCTGAGAGAAAGAGAGAGAGCATAAGCAGGAGGGGCAAAGGGAGAGAGAATCTCAAACAGACCCCACGCTGAGCATGGAGCCAGATACGGGCTCGATCTTAGGACCCTGAGATCACAACCTGAGCTGAAACAGAGTTGGACGCTTAACCTACTGCGCCACCCTGGCACCCCAATAATATCTTTAAAGAGTTTCCCAGCAGTTACCCTAGAGTGTCATCAGTAAAGCTAAGCAAACAAACATGGTTTATTTGTTAGAGAAAAATAGTCAGTAGTAGTAAGAGCACACTCTCTGAAAAAGCAGCTGCTCAGTGATTGGAATGGAAGTGACATCTTGAAAATAATTTCTGTCACTTCTGTTTTGTAATATGCTCTCCAATATTAGTATGTGGCTTTGAGAATCACAAGAATGTGGGCTGGAAATTGCAGGATCCATAAGGAAAGGTCCTTTGCATGCCTGGGTTGGCCACCTGGGGTAGGATAGTAATGATCTGGGAGAGATGACAGCCTATTTCTTTAGTTCCTGTGTAGCTGCATGAGATAAGTCTGATCAAATTTGCTTAGAAAATCCCCCAATAAGGCCCATCTGTAGGCACAATCTGCTCAAGAAACATGAAGATCTTACTTACTTTGAACCTCCACAGCCCTCCAATATCTTCAGTTCGCTCAAAGCAAGTGGGCTCCAGTCCCTCATCCACACAACACTTCAGAGAGACCAGGCCACTGACCCCGGCTCCAATCACTGCCACCTTCTTTGCCATGGTCTTCTGTCAAGAAGTTGATCAATCAATACTGCTTCACTGGGACAAGAGGTAAGAAAGCTCTCACAGTGTGGTCAGTAATCAGCTGGAAACACTGTAGCAGTGGCAATATAATAATAAGCAGGAACTTAATAAAACACTTCACTAGTCAAGTCACAGACTTTCCTTGGAAGAGGCCAAATTGTTTCACGGACTTGGCTGCAGACTTTGTTTATGATGTCTTGGTTTAGCATTTAAAACCAACTCATTTAACAATGCCAAACCATTTAATAACGTAGTGCCATATGAGCCAAATCTCTCTACATTCTTTGGCGTGCTGAGCATTTCCTTTTCAGCTACTACCCCCAGCTATTATCCTCACCTTCCTTTTGCCTTTTGGTGCTGTCCCTTTGACACAATGGTTTTCTCTGTTGGGTGTGGGCTGGGAAGCAGTCAGAAGTGCTTTAAATATTGGAAGAGGCCGTGAGAAATAGGAGGAGCTTCTCACTCCTTCAGCATTTTGCAGCCTGAAACTCCTGGGCCTTCCTTAGGAGCTCTGAAATTAAGCAAGAGGCTTATATTCTGAGGTCCAGGATAATGATCTTTACAGTAACACCATTATACACTTACACATATCATACACATAGTATAAAAAAAACCTTTTTATAATGGATGTGACCAATGTTCATCAACAAAGCTGTAAATATGAATAAATAAAGAAAGAAGTTAAAATTATCCCTAACCCCACTGTACAGAGATAATTATAACCAACATGGACATTTTAGTATATCTTTCCAGATATTTGTATATCTACACATATACACACCTGAACAAAAATGGAATGACACTCCAAGTGTCATTCCCAATTTGACTTTTCACTTTCTGGTATATCAATACCTTTATATCTATAGCAACACTTTAATGGCTGCATGAATTCTATTTAGTTGATGGATTAGTTATCTATCTAACAAATCTTCATTTCTACGAGTTAGGCACTATTTTTGGCATATGACTGTACGCAGATGAACGAAACAGATTATGTCCCTGGTCTCCTGGAATTTACATTCCTGCTCTGGCCTGGCTTTCTTAGACTTGACAACATCCAGATCCTTGCATACTACGCTCACATGTTCCTAGATTGCTTACCCTGCCCAGAACTATATCTGATCTTCATGTTTCTGCTTGTGTGTGTGCTGGTTTAGACAAACCTACTGGGACGGCCAAGATCTTCCTGTCCATTGACCTCTTTTTGGCTTGATATAGAAATGACTAACTTATTTTTCATAAATAAAACTTCTTTTTATTTTGGATAACTTCCTTTTGTTTACAATCTCAGTTATTGGCACTAACAATTAAGAAGTCTAAATCAAGGGGCTAGAAATCTTTGTGTATCTTGGATATTGTCTAAATGATGAAGATGAAGGACTCTGTTGTTCAACAAGACCAGTGGATCTAAGGACTCTGAGATTTTTTTATTTTTCTTTTTATTTTTGTTTTATTATGTTATGTTAATTGCCATACATTACATTAGTTTTTGATGTAGTGTTCCATGATTCATTCTTTGTGTATAACACCCAGTGCTCCATTCAATACGTGCCCTCTTTAATACCCATCATCAGGCTAACCCATCCCCCGAACCCCCTCCCCTCTAGAACCCTCAGTTTGTTTCTGAGTCCATCGTCTCTCATGGTTCATCTCCCCCTCCAATTTCCCCCCCTTCATTTTTCCCTTCCTACAATCTTTTTTTTTTTTTAACATATAATGTATTATTTGTTTCAGAGG